TTTTTTAATTCTAAATATCGCTCTTTTCCTAATTTGTAAGAAGGGCTCACTGCAAAAATTAGGGCCTTACGAAAAGTCCCATTTTGTCTCTTCATATGGTCCATTTTGTAAATTCTCAAATTTATGACCATCTTTTTTTATTTTAAATTTGGCAATGTTCGTTGTCTCAGAAAAATTCCGGTAGAAAGTTGGTTCCCACTATCCTGTCATTCTTTCATCACAAGTACCTAAAATTTTCCCATTATCATAGATCAGAAGAAATAGTGAAATCAGTGTGGCCTTCAATCTTGGAACATATTGGGCAAAATTATTTCAGTAAAATTTTTGTATGCTTTCTTGTTACACTCTTGACATCTGAATTGTAGAGTGCGACTGGCTACTTTGAGCAGGAAGACTCCTTACTGCCGTCGTCGAACTGCGGAGGGCTTCCACCGGCAGTAGCTGCTCCTGGTGCCTCCCATTTATTATCTTTGGATGATCGTGGGTCTTCAAAAACCAGGTAGTATTAATGTGCAGTAATTTTGAAACTCAAAATCTGAACGAGGTTATAGCTCGGAGGGTAACCCTCCTACTGCTACTCCCGGCAGAGGACGAGGGCGAGGACGTGCATCGCTAGCCTCCGATATGCCGCCAGATGAAAGAAAGTATGTTTTTTGATGTTTTAACTATCTTCAAGTCGATATCCTAATCGCGTTTGATACATAGTTGTTGCAAAGTTCTAGAATGACTATCCTCGAGAGAAACAAGGCGGCGGCTGTTCGCTACCGAAAACGAAAGAAGGAGGAACATGACGATATGATCACTCGTGTGCACACACTGGAGCAAGAGAAAGTGCAGCTAAATGTAAGTTGTATGTGTTCTCTGTGTTCTCCATTTCAAATATCTGATATGCATTATTTATAAATAATGGACTACTTATCTAGACACAAAATCAAGTGCTTCGACGCGAACTTGATCGGTTGACAGCCTTACTTCGAGAGCGAGAAGCTCGATGTGTGTGCCTGAAAGGAATGCCCTTGAGCACAGACCCTCGGGCCGAATCTCCAGTGGATGTATGTTTTTGGAACTCCTTTAATTAGTCACATTTTGAGTGAATTTAGCAACTTTTTGACCATGCCTTTCTTCGAGGTTTACCTGCAAACGACAGAAATTTATGTTAGGAAAACCGCAAAAAGTTGATGTTTTGGTCTAAACATTGTTTTTGTATTCGAATTTCGTAATTTTACTCTGCTTTTTAGTACTCTATTTATATATTTATAGTTGTGAATATTTGCTTAATAGATACAATATCTCACTGCTACGAAATTTACGTGATTTGAATCATTTTCTATAATTTGAATTTAGGTTGATCTACTCTCGAATCCTCAGCATACTAACATGTACATACCCCAAGCACAGCAGCTGATCAATGGTTTGAGCCTGCCTAATGGAATGGGCTTGAAACGGCCAAAAATGTAGAAAGTTGATCTTTTAAGTTTTTCTCAAACGCTTAGTTTACCATCCCCAGTTGTTCGGTGTAGTTGTTGCCTAGAGTTACCTGTCCTTTCTGGTGTACTGATCTTGTGGTCACCTCAGTCCTACCATCACCTTTTTTAAAATTAAAGTAATGCTACCATTACATCTCCTTCCACGAGAATATTGAAAATCATGTCGAGCAGGTCTCGATACATGTTGCATACTGTTTTTGATATACTGTTCCGGTAATGTCAGCCTCGCTCGAGTACTTATTGGGTTGAGGTAAAGTTTTTTGCACACGTATTTCTCTCACACTAGAGACATTATTTAAAGCGCTCTATTTGTTCAGTTTTCCCCTCGTTGCCATGTCTCGTTGTCTCAGCTAACAAAATCTTTGAAATAGTCAGCTTATTGCCTCATTGTTCTAAAGAAAAGAGCGCAGTCACGGAAATTCCTAAATTTGTATTGAGTTGCAGAACACAAAAGCACTGATTGGTGTTTTACTTAAATTTCAGGTTGTTAAGAGTTGTGCGCTTTTTATTTTTGTTCAGTCTGGAACGGTGCGAACACAGCGCTTTTTTTTCACACTGTAAATTAATAGATCCTCTGTGCTAGTGTTCGCGCCTTCGGCTTTTTTGTACATTGTTTTTTTTT